CCCCCCCCGCCCCCCCGCCAAAACCTAACCTGCAATGTCACGTGTTGACATCTTAACCCCCCCCTCCCCCCCAGTAAATCCCAGTTCTCAGGCCCCATGGCCCCAGGCTTCAGCGAGGATGCAGAAACGTAGGATGACGTTAGTTCTTTGGCCTGTTGTGTCCCTTTAGCTTCCTCGGTTACGTGGACATGCTTGGCGTGGCCTATGAAGCCCCTTCCCTGGCCACGGGCTATGGTTCCTACTTGGCTCAGGTAAGAAGTGAGTTGAGAGGAGAAGGGGGTGCAGAGGGGAAGAGAGCAGGCGATGGGGGCTGGTGGTTGTGCGCTTGCTTTTTTTTTTTTACTTTACAACTCTGACATGAGGAACAGGCTAGGATCCCTGTTGCTGGGCAGATGGTTCTCTTTGTGGTCCAGAGGCTTTAAGTGTGGCATTTGCATTCCAATGACAAGGCCTGTTCAGGAGTCAGGAGGCATGTGCAGAGAGAGGATACTCTAAACCTCCCCTAGAGGTGGGTCTTAGCACAAGTGAACAGTATTCTGGTGAGGCAGTAGGCGGAATGTTACTTCTCCACTCGTTTGTGCACATTACACCATGGATTTGAGACAAGGAGCCAGGTGGTCAGCCCCTGATTATCTCCCATGTTTTTTCCCTAATCTCCTCAGCCTCTGCTTCGAGAAGTTCTGGAGAAGCAGCCAGTGCTGAGCCAGGCTGAGGCCCGAGAGCTGGTGGAACGCTGCATGCGAGTGCTGTACTACCGGGATGCCCGCTCTTATAACCGGGTGAGGAGGGGGGCGTGAATGATGAAGGTGAAGGGATCTCATTGGCAGGGTCTCAATACTCACAAATGTCAAGGGTTTCCGCGCTTTGAAGGGCTGTTTGTCCCATTTCTGTCTCCTGTTTTCCTATTTGGGAAAGACCCTCTTCTTCACCTTTGACCGGGTCCCAGAGATTTCTTTCATGCGGGGTTAAGGCATTTTCACTAAGAGACCTGCTTTCTTTCAGTTTCAAATCGCCACGGTAACCGAAAAAGGTGTTGAAATAGAGGGACCACTTTCAGCAGAAACCAACTGGGATATTGCCCACATGATCAGGTGATTGGAATTGAAATTATAATGGGGAAAATAGGTGCTAGAAGAGTTGGGAGGCCCCGAGGCTTGCACTAAGCTGGGTGTTTGTTTGTTTTGTTTTAAGTCTCAACCCCAAATTCTCTGGGTGGCATGCACTTTGGTTCAACAGAACTGCTTTTAGTAATCGATTCCTTTCCCTATCACTTCGCAAATTTATTAGTGCTCTCTTCCTTTTTAGCGGCTTTGAATGAAATACAGACGTGTTATCTAGAACCGAAGTTGTATTCTTCCGAATTTGAACTTGGCTGGTTCAGAGGTAGACTTCCCTTTTTGTAAAATAAATCTTTTGAAACACTTGCTGAGTAGTTGTATTTTGTCTGACTAGGTCACACCAAGAACAAAACCACTAAGTACTGCCATATGCCATTTCCTCCCTGATCTGAGAACCTTTGGCTCTTTTTTTTTTTTTTTAATATATTTTATTTTTTACAGGGAGGAAGAGAGAGGTATAGTTAGAAACATCGATGAGAGAGAATCATCGATCAGCTGCCTCTTACACATCCCCCACTGGGGATGTGCCCATAACTAGGAATATGCCCTTGATCGGAATCAAACCTGGGACCCTTCAGTCTGCAGGCTGATGCTCTATCCACTGAGCCAAACCGGTTTCGGCGGCTCTTAGTTCTTACAGCAGAGAGTTCTCTGCATGACAACACAGAAGACCCACCTGCTGTCTTCAATTGTAGAAGCCAGGCTTATTTAATCCCTGTGGGATAACCTAATTGGCTTTTTTAAAAAAATATATGTTTTATTGTTTTACAGAGAGGAAGGGAGAGGGACAGAGAGCTAGAAATATCGATGAGAGAGAATCATTAGTCAACTGCCTCTTGCACACCCCCTACTGGGGATGTGCCCGCAACCAAGGTTCATGCCCTTGACTGGAATCGAACCTGGGACCCTTCAGTCCGCAGGCGGACGCTCTATCCACTGAGCCAAACCGGTTTCAGCCTAATTGGCTTTTGTATTTAATTTTTTTCCACCCATGCACCAGGTTCTAAAATAGTTTCTGGTTAATGTTGGCTGCAAGTGTAGTTTTAGTTAAAACACCATTTTAAAGATAAAATGGAGCATCTAATGGAATTGTTCTGAATAAGGCTACTCCCGAGCTGGAACTGACAGTCTCAACCTTCCCATTCCATTTAAAAAATCTAAGTAGCCCTGTCCAGTTTGACTCAGTGGATGGAGCATCGGCCTGCGGATTCAATCCTCCCAGGTTCGATTCCAGTCAAGGGCATGTACCTTGGTTGCGGGCACATCCCCAGTAGGGGGTGTGCAGGAGACAGCTGATCGATGTTTCTCTCTCAATGTTTCTAACTCTATCCCTCTTCCTTCCTCTCTGTAAAATAATAATAATAATATATATTAAAAAAAGAAATACTAAGTAATTTCAACATTGAACTTAAATGCCTATTGTTCAAACCTACTACTAATTTCCAGCTCTGCCATAAAACTTACAAGTTTTGTGTGTTTATTAAAAGGTCCTAAGTGTGGCTGTGAGTCCAATCAATTGGGGTAACAGCCAAATTCCATCCCCGGAATGGTGTTAAACTCTTATTTAAAAATGAACACTTCCCAAATAAAAAACAAAAATGTAAAAATGAACATCTTAGGTAATTCTGACGCATATCCTCTCTAAATCTCTTCTTGAGAAAGTAGTACAGACAGCAAACCCAAAAACGTACAGAAGTTCAGTGAGGTGAGAAAGGAGGGAGAAATCAAAGCATCGCTCTGCCCATGTCACCCATGATTACAACAAACCAGTACATTAAAGCAAAAACAAAAAAAAAACCCATGAGCTTTCAATTTGAATATTCTATAGTCTCAACACAGAAAGTAGGCAATAAATACTTTATTGATTAAACTGAAATATATAAAAAAAACAAAAAACCCCAACCTTGTACTACTAAGCCATGTGGGCAGAATGCACAATAACTTTCTGGCCAAAACTCGGCTGACCCACTGTTGGTAAAACCGTCTTAAAAAGACTGCCCCTCAGGAAAGTCACTCCGTGTGCAGAGCCCAGGAGCCCAGCTCCACTAAGTCTGGGCTGCCGTGGAGACTACCAAAGAGAAGGATTAGGTCGTTATAGATGGAGTTGACCATAGTTCTTGATCTTTCTGAAAGGCAAAGGATTGACTCAAAATTCCATAATTCTGTCAAAATGGTACCAGGCAAAGAGCTGGGGAAGAGAAGCCCGGATGGATCTTCGGTTCAGTGTCTAGATGCCACGGGTTCACAGAGCTGGCCCCGGTGTTTACGGGAGGGATCCCTCCAGGTCACTATCTTAGAGCCATTTGGGGTTAAAAAACAAAAAAAGGGCAAACAGGGGTAACAAATGTCACACCTGCACCATCAGGCCCACATGCCAGTCTGTGAAAACCATTAGAATAGGGGCACCTAGGGAAAAAAAAGCATTGTTTCTCAACTCCTTTCCCTTCACGTCATTAAACGTCGCACGTACGTTTTAAAGATGAACCAGTCACAGGCCTGTGCAGGTCGCCGTCTTTGCTCTAGGAAGGAAGCGTTGCTGAGACTCAGGGCGGACAGAAGGGTGTAGCTGTGGGAAAGAAAGGTGGGCCTGGATTTTTGCTCCTTTTCTCTGTTACAGTACATTTCAGTTTATAACCATGAGTACATACAACTTTTAAAAAAAAGAATCCCTCATGCAAAACTGCAGAAAAATGTTTTCTTTCCTTGATGCTGGCAGTAAAAAATAAAGATTCGTGTCTTTTTCTCTGTGCACACCCCCATGTATCTCTTCTTCAGGTCAGATTCTTCACTAAGCGTTAAGAGAAAGAGGAGAAAGCAGGATTTCAGCAAGTGGTCTGTCTTTTCTTTTTAAAGTTCAACACTTAATTTCTTGCACCATTAGCTCCTGGCTGTAGGAATGTGGTCACTTGGTCAGGCACTGTCCATTTAAGATGAAGTTCAAAGCAGGGGCTGCCCCCAGAGGGTGTGCAGGGTAAAGAGCCCACACTGGGAATGGCTTCCGCCCTAATACTCTGATCGCCTCAGCACCTCTCGCTTGCTAATGACGTGTATGATCCTTTGTCCAGAGTGATGGTGTGAGAATGGGAAAAGGGGGCCAGATATCCCAAGTGTTTCAAAGAATATTGGTTTTGTCGTGTTTTTTTTTTTTTTGTTGGGAGGGTGGTGAGGAAAAAGATCTATTCATCATTCTGGTTGATTAAAGGTGGTTGCATGCATTTTTAAAGCCACAATTTTATATCGAGTTGCTGTAGAAACCAACTTCTCTGGAGAGGGAAGGTAAGAAAGGAGAAGGAAGAGAGAGTTCAGTGGGATTTTTTTTTTTTTCCATTTTCATTTTTATATAAAAGTGTTAAGACCACAATGAAAAAAGTTTATCCATTATATATAATAAACCAGTTCGTGAGCTACAATTTTTCTTTCCCATCTTCAGAAATGTTCTCAAATTGACAATGGTTGGATAGCATCATGCCCAGACATTGGCCACACAGTAAAACAAACCGGAGGTACTATAATACAACTGAGGTAAAAGGGGAAACAAAAAAGGTAACATTCGTCCACAAAGGATTTTTTTTCTTTTCTTGTTTTGTCAGAAAAATACCAAACACAGTGATTTTTTTTTTTTTAAAAATCCACAAAAACCTGTTATCATAAATGAATGACCAATGGGCCAGCTCCTCGGCTCAGATGTGATTACTATTGGTTTTCCTATAATAATCCACAAATCCACAGGGAAGTATCAGTCAACATCAGGGGCAGTGGTGGCATCAAATTAAAAAATATAAACCAAATACCCCACCTGGCATACCCCTTTTCCCCTACGCCCCCTCTGCCCTCCCTCACGCTGCCCCACCCCCACTTCATCCGCCCTCCAGACCCCAACACTCAAATCTCCATCAGATCGAGGTCAGCTTCTTCAAAGCCATAGAAGGACTCGGTCTCGCTTTCCCCCTCGAAGAGCTGGTGGAGGCTCTCGGGGTCGGCTGTCTCTTCGGGGGAGGACCTGGGCCGGGGGGTGGAAGCCGAGTGCTCCTCAGACTGCTCCCCGCTCAGCTTCAGCTGCTCCTCCAGGGAGGCAATGAGCTCCTCCTGCATGTCAGCGTTTCTTGTGGGCGAGTTAATGTTGCCGTCGGGGCCCGGCAGGACGCTGGCCACGAGGAAGGACCGCTGAACCAGCTCCGGGCAGTCCCCGATGACGGCCAGCACCTCGGCCAGCCAGACCACCACCAGGTGCAGCAGGACGTCGGAATCGCACGCGGCGTCTGCCATCTCCCGGGCCTGCTCCTTCCACTTTTTGTGCAGGAAGTTCTTGACTGTCCGCTTGATGCACACGTCTAAGGGCTGGATCTTGGAGCTGCAGCCTGCGGGGACCACGGCGGGCAGAGTGCTGGAGGCGCTCAGCAGGGCCAGCACCTCCTCAGACAGGTGGGTGCGGTGGCAGTCCATCACCAGCATGCCTTTGCCGCGCTGGCAGGCGGCGTGCTTCTGCCACACCCGGGTGGACCACAGCTCCATGATCTCGTCGTCGCTGTAGCCGCCCTCCTTGGCCTCCAGCAGTATGGAGTCCGGCACGTTAGCGGGCTGGTCCACGTGTCCTCGGTAGAAAACCATGGTGGGGAGGACGGTGCCGTCCGCCAGGATGGCCAGCACCACGTCGCACCAAGGCTCCCCGGTGCCCACCGTCTGCAGGGCGTTCTCCTTCCGGTCGTCGCTGCTCAGCACCTCCGTATCCAGGAACAAGGAGATCTCGTCGACGGCCACGATCATGGACAGGGGCAGGTCCTGGTTGTGGATCTGCCGCTGCACGAATTCGATGAAGAGGCCCGCGTTCTCGGCCACGTCCTTGGGCAGCGTGTGGGCCACGGCGCGCCGGGCGTGGGGAGTCAAGTGGTGCCGCAGCATGAAGCGCACGGCCCACTCGTAGGAGATCTTGAACCCCCCGTCCAGCGAGCGCCCGATCTTCGTGGCCTTCTGGAACAGGGTCTCCTCGTTGACCGGGAGCTGCTGCTCGCGCTGGGTGAGCACCCACTCGGCCAGTTTCTCCTCCGCCTCGAAGCTCAGGTACTTGCCCTCCAGGGCCTCCCACTGGGAGGCCTGGAGGCGCCGGAGCCAGCGGCGGATGCGGCGCTGCGGGTTCCGGAAGTGCTCGGCCGCCTGCTCCGTGTCACAGCACAGGGCGAACAGCACCACGCGGAGCTTCTTCACCGACAGCTGCTCCTTCCGGCCCACCCCGCCGCTGCTCCCGCCCCCGGGGGCGGGCTCGGGCTCCTGGGCCACCGGGCTTCCTTCGTCCTGGTCATCCACATCCAGGCACTCGGCCTCCTCCGCGGCCAAGGGCGGCAGGGCCGGCGGCTGGGGCAGCGTGGGGGTGGGCGGCGGGGTCGCGGTGGAAGCTGGGGACGGGGGAGCCTGGGCCGTGGGCGCCGGGAGCTCTTCGGGATCGGCGGGGGCGGGCTCGGCAGGTTTCGCAGCGGGAGCTTTATTGGACGGGAAGGAAGGGGGAGGGTACGTATTCTTCAAGGTGCGGTCATTCAGCCGGTCCCGGGTCTGGCCATGCCTAAAGGGTGCGCAGAGAGAGGAAGGAGAACCTCAGTAAAACCAGGGAATACAAAGCAACAGCAGGAATCGCAATAAAAACCACACACACTGCGAAACAGAAATTAAATCATAAAGTGAGTTTCTTTTACCTCGAGTGAGACATCCAAGAGAGTGCTATGGAAAAGGAGACAATGAAAAGAAGTTAACTCAGTGAAGAAAAAAGCCTTCTAAAGACAATGTCTTGGGATTTCGATCAAAAAGGCAAATCTACTGCCTACTCAAGTCTTATAGAAACTTCAGGTTAGAATGCTTCCGAACAGTGGAGTCGGCCAAAACAGTAGATGGGTTAGGGATGCTCCCGATTCATGTAACATCACTTGTATCCCCCCCTTTTTTTTTTTTCTTCTTGTCCTGCTAATCCCATCTCTCCTACTTACCTCGTGGCAGAATGCTGCTGGATCTGTGAGAGGGATTGAATACCAAATGCTTGGCCATGGCATCTCCCACGAAGGTAACAAAGGTACAGGAAGTGCAGTACAGCTTGATTCCGCTGAGAGAGAGAGCCAGGAGCACAGAAGTCAAGTACAGCAGTGAACGAGAGTTAAGCCTTGAGGCTTAAGAGTGTCCTTTCTTCTCTCTCTCAAATTAATTCACATACCCACCCATCCCAAAACAGTTTAAAGGATCTAATGTACCGGTAAAAACGTCTAAATTCAGAGATCATCCTTACCTCACAGAGTTTTTAAATAAAGCCAAATACTTGGAGCTCTTCCGTGGAACATGATTGCTGAGAAAGACAGAAAGTGTATGAGTGACAGGGTTCTGCCGGTGAAACAGATCACCAGCCACTGACAACGACCCAACAAAGAAGATGCCTCTTGCCCTGGCCGGTAACTTAGTCAGTTGGAGCATCATCCCGGTTGGGGTGCAACTGATATTTCTCTCACATCAATGTTTCTCCCTTTCTCAAAAAAACAAAACAAAAAAAACCACCACCACCAAAAAAAAACCACACACACACACACACACACACACACACACACACACCCCCTTCAATCCATCCTAAACTCAAATAGTGCCAGTTTTCCTAGTGTGGGGGGTGGGGGGGCAGAGGGGAAGAGGGGAGAGGGTAGGAGGTTAGGATTAGGGTCTACGAAAATGCACATAGTGCCAAAACCGGTTTGGCTCAGTGGATAGAGCTTCAGCCTGCGGACTGAAAGGTCCCAGGTTCAATTCCGGTCAAGGGCATGTACCTTGGTTACGGGTACATACCCAATAGGGGATGTGCAAGAGGCAGTGATCGATGATTCTCTCTCATCGATGTTTCTAACTCTCTATCCCTCTCTGAAAAAAAATCAATAAAATATATATTTAAAAAAAGAAAAAGAAAATGCACATAGAGATTGTGAGGACCTAGGGCTGGACCCAGAGCTGCAATTCTAACAAGCTTCCACATGGTGTTGTTAGTCCTTGAACCACAATTTGAGTAGAAGGTTCCACAAAGCCAGAGCACAGCCCATTGAAGTTAAAAGAACATGGGCTGGCCTCTCACTCTGCTCGGACAAACAGCTCCAAGAGACGGACAAACAGCTCCAAGAACTGAAGGAATAAATAAACAAACTATGAACAGGGGAGGGAAGAGAGAGTTCTGGGAATCTCAACTCCCAGACAGGAACCGTGGTTTAACCGTGACTTACTTGATCATGTGATTGGCATAAGCTCGAGAACAGCAGGTGCTGTAGCGACACAGAGAGCAGTGGACATACGTAGGAAAATGGTTCGGGAAATCTGGGATCTCGAAGCTGCACTCCAGACACGTCTGCCGGCCCATGACACTCCTGTCGAGAAACAAGGAAGATGATCACAAACTGCCTCTGGCACCCACACTGTAAAGACTCAGGACAGACCCTACTGAAGGCTGCCGGTCACACGGGGTGAGGGTAGCCGTGCCCCCAGCCCGCCCAGGCTTCTAGAGAAGGGCACTGACATTTTCCTCACGGCTCTCTTCTGGATGTTGCGCTGGACGGGGGGGTAAAGGAAGACTGGCAGAGGGTCCGATGACGAGGTCAGGGGTCCTGCCTCCTGCAAGGTGCTGGGCGGAGCTTCACCGGAGACAGGGAGACTTCGAGGCTGCCCTCGGGAAGCCCGGATTGTCACCTGGGGATCAAGGGGAGGAACGCTCAGACATCAGATACTGAAACTCTCTGTTCTTCTCCTGAGTCTGCAAAGGAAATGCTGACAACCCCGTTACCTTGGTGCCTGGTTTCAAGCCTTCCAGCTGCTTGGGTTTACGGAAGGTCTTATGGTGCTGAAGCTTGTGTTCAATCTTGTCCTTGGCGAAGAGGAACTGCAGCCGGCATTTGTTGCAGTGATACACGTTCCTCTTCTGAGGGGGGGAAAAAAAGAAACTCTTTTACCACCTCCCAGCGAATATTCTTCCCTGAGGAGAAGGTAGATCAATGCCAACCAGACTACTCTGCTCATCTTTCTGCTGATGCACAACAGGCACAGCCTACCACTGAGCATCATCACCTCCCGTTCTCCCAAAGAAAGGTGGACTCCCAGCCAGAGCAGGGCGCCTGGGTCCTCAAACCATCTCTTCCCAACTTGCTTTAATAACCTGGATGGGTGGCTCAGCTCTACTTGTCCATACTTTATATTTACAATGTGGACAGTGCTACCTACTTCTGGGCACTGTTATTTCTTTATTTTTATTTATTTCAGAGAGGAAGGAAGAAGGAGAGAGAAACATCAACTAAGAGAGAGAATCATTGATCAGCTGCCTCCTGCTCAACCCCTGGGCTTGAGCCCGCAACCCAGGCATGTGCCCTGGCCGGGAATCCAACCGGGGACATATTGGGGTTCATGGGTAAATGCTCAACCACTGAGCCACATTGGCTGAGCTCTTTAAAAAAGAAAAGAAAATGTACATGGTAAAACAAACAAACAAACAAACAAAAACATTTTTTTTTACTCTGTAAGATTGTTTTCAACTCTGATCCTTAGTCCCTTTCCACAAAAACAACTTACCAGCTTCTTCGGTTGGTTTCACGGACAGCCATGCTACAAACTCATACCTCTCCAACCACCACCTCCCTGTTTTTCCTTTCTTTGGCAACAAAAACGATGGTACTTTCCTAGACCTTGCTCTTTTTCCTCTTAACACATCACTCTGTACACATATGCCTCCCGATGAGACAGACCAATGTGAGGGTTCAGAGTGCTATGTACTGAAGTCCTCTGACGACAGGATTCAAGTCTATGATTTTCTCCCCGAGGACAGGAGGCTGGGTAACAGTAGCTGAGTTACCAGTGGCAATCTCCACGCTGCTGTTTGGAAACACATTTGTGGTGGACTCTCAGCAATCACTGCTGCGCAAACGAATGTCTGGGTCTGACAGGACGAGGGTGTCTGTACACACTCTCATGTTTGTACACACGTGTGAACATTCAGCACGGCAGTCCAGGACTGAAAAACCTCTCTGATAGCTTCCCAATGACTTATTTTCATGCTGCAATTCCTTTTCATGGCTTACCAGGTTCTCCATAATCTATCTGTTCCCTACAGCCAACCTTCCTGTTCCTACACTTCACATTGAATTTCTTTCGATCCCCTGACCCTCCAGCCTCTGGCTCTGTGCCTCTGAACACACACACTGTTTAATTCCACTTCACCTGCTCATCCTTCCTCAACCTTCAGGTCTACAAACATGGTAATGTTATGCAAAAATATGCACACCCTTCTCCTGGAAGCTTACCAGACTTTCAGAATAGGTACATGCTTTTCTGTGTTCTGTGTCTCCTCTTAACACGACATTTTTTATGCTTTACTGTACTGTTTAGTTATCTTATTTGGCAGTAAACTGCCAACCCCAGTGCAATATTTATAAATGAAATTCACTAAACTTACACACACACACATTCTTTTCTATAAAAATAATTTGCCTAGCAACCACACAATTAAAAATAAGAGCATGGCAGTTGCTTAGTGCCAGGTACCTGGTGCCTCATGTAGTGCTGCTGGAATGCGTTGCCATTTTTGAAGACCTTCAGACAGTACGGGCACAGCAGATGCCGAGTGTCCTCGTGGATCATCCGGAAATGGACGTCTACCTCGGAGTAGAGTGAGGAGCGGTACTGACACACCTGAGTCACACAAGAGGGAAAGTCAGCTGAGGATGAAGCAAACGACTGGGGCCTCAAAAAAGAGGTGGCAACAAAGACGTTAAAATACGAAAATAAAATTCCTTAAATGTGTAGGTCAAATCGTATTTCTGACTTTGTGATCAATTCAGCCGTGAATTAAGATAAAAATGAGGACGGACAGGAAAGTCTGAGAAATATTTGTGTTCTTTGATTAAGAGGAGCAAGGCTTTCTCTGATAAGTCTCCAAAGAGCAAGGTCAGCACCAGACACTTACTTAGTACATGTGTAAGTGCCTTTATGCTTTTCCCCCCGCATGAAGAATCCCGAAAACAGGACCTGTGTTTACTATTTCTTTTGCATCTCGTAGTGTTCCTAAAACTGAGTGTGTGTGGTGTTCAGCACTGGTCATGAGTGGGTTCTTTGTATTTAGCCTGAGAGCAAAATGGCTAGAACTCCCTAGGGACAAAGTTAATACCTGGCAAACATAAGGCATCTCTCCAGGCTTATGAGTATCCTTCATATGCTGCAGAAATAGTGGCTCACTCTCAAATGCCCACTCACAGATCTTGCATTTGGCTGTAAGAAGAAAAATAATCAATAAATTCACCTGAAAATAAGACCATGACTTATTCATAAGACCATGATTTATTATAAGATCGTGACTTATTCTATTTTCTGAGTTCTGTATCTTCCTTTTTCCATAGTTAGAAAATCGTTTCTCTTTCTTTAAAATGGTTCCACCTTAATATATGTGTGGCTGATAAAACTAACCATGTCTCTAGCTCAGACTTCTTACCAAAGCTCCATTCTAGATTTTGAATTATCTCTAAGACCTTTCTAATTAGATATTCTAACATCAACTCTGACTTACAGCAGCATCCCATTGTTGCCCTTCTCACTACCCCATCTCTTCCTCAGCTCAAAATTCAGGCCCTGGCTGGTTTGGCTCAGTGGACAGAGCATCGGCTTGTGGACTGAGGATCCCAGGTTGAATTCCAGTCAGGGGCACATGCCTGGGTTGCAGGCTCAATCCCCAGTAGGGGGCATGTAGGAGGCAGCCGATCAATGATTCTCTCTCATCATTGATGTTTCTGTCTCTCTCCCTCTCACTTCCAGTCTGAAATCAATAAAAATGTATTTATTGATTTAAAAATTTAGACACCATCTGACTCTATACTCCTGTTTTCACCATTATTTCAAAATGCATCTAGGAATTGTCACTTCTCCAATCTCATAGGCAAAAACTTGGTAGAAGCCCATATGATTTCCTACACTTATCAGCTAAATTCTAATTTCACCAACAAATACAAGATCTATTTTTGCATATCATTACCAAATCAATTCTTTCAAAATACTACATTACTAAATTATTTTGCACAAGATTAGACAATGATTATCTCCAATGAATAAGTCAATATTTATTGAACATCTTAAATCAGTACAAATAAGAATTTGTCTTAAAAAAAAAAAAAACAAGACTCATGAACAGAAGTTCTTAACTTGCTATGAGTTATTATAGTGACAACAAATTTAAGATAACTTTGCAATTGCCCATTTTGTCAAGTTTATAAGGCTGGAATTCCACACCAGCTGGGGCTATTTTACTTCTTTCTTTCGTTTTTTTTTTTTTTTTTGTGTGTGTTTTTTTTTTAATTTAAGTATACTAGGTATACAATATTAGTTTCAGGTGTATCATATAGTGATTCAACATTTATAAACCTTACAATGTGATCATCACACTAGATCTAGCAATCATCTGTCATCATGCAAACTTATCAAAATATTAAAAATCTATTCTTTAACAGGAAAAAAGTTACTAAACATCTCATTAATTTTAAAATTGTGGTTACATGCTTAACTATTTTGGATATGAGTTAAATAAAATACACTATTAATTTTAGGTTTTTAAAACTATTTAAAATGGCTATTTAAAAAACTTAATTATATGTGTTGTTCACATTATATTTCTTTGACCAGTACTAGTCTAAGCTACTCATGGCAATCCCATTGTCCTTGCAAATATAACTAAGGCCAAAGAGATATAAGGGAAAACAATTCTGCCTTGAAAGACATAGATTCAGAGAAGACACAGGAAGATATGGTTTCTTCTTCATCTGTACAATTTTGTGTCTGAATGAAACACCTGAGACTAACACAGCCAGAGATAAGAGAAATGTTAGGAAGCAGACACTCAAGTTCTGGGCCTGCAGTTCTTTCGGTTAAAATGAGAGAAAGGATGTCCTTATTGTTCAATTACTTAAGTCAAGGTTTTTAATTTGTAGCAAAAGCATCCATTCATGCGTATTTCTGGTCTTTATGCCTTTGCTTGCTTTTCCCATCAGGTAAAAGTTTTCCTTACTAATTATCATCAATTTAAATCCTCCTTGCATTTAAAGACCCCAAAAACTTAAGATGACTTTCTGTGATCTGGCCACAAGGATCTATCTGTTCCCTTTTCTGATCTATTTAACTTACTCTTGATGAAACATATAACACATATTTATAATAAACATACTATGTTGTGCCCACATTTCCCTATATTTACATAATTTTTATATCTTCAACACATCTAGAAATCCCTTAAGGGATACAGGAAATATTCTAGAAGACTGGGATCAAATTCTCACAATGTCACCTTACTGAGGTGTATGGTCTTCAGTAAATAACTACATTTTTTGAAAGCACTGTCTCAATTGTAAAGTTCTTTATAATAAACATTGTCTTTTATCTTCCGTAAAATCTATCAGGGGACAAACTAAAACGAAGGTTCAAATATAGATGCTCCTTCTATAAAATAAACCCACTACATGTATCTCTCTCCAGTGGTCCTAAGCCAAACTCCCTAATTGAGGATCTAACATTGAACTCAATTCATGCTGAACAGAATATAAATCAGGCTTGAAAGAAAACAGGGCAAACAAAGTAATGAAATGACTACAAATATGCAAAGAACTTCCTCTACCCTGTCACCCACACATAAATATAACCAGCTCCCCCTAGTGCCATCTATAATACTAAAAGCATAATATGCTAATTAGACCAGACGGCTGAACAACAGAACGACAGTCCGCACAACCTTCAGATGAAACCGGGGCTGTGAGGGCCAAGCTCCTTGCATAAATTTTGTGCATCGGGCCTCTAGTACAATGATAAAGAGCTAAGTATATCCTTAGGTTTAAGAGTTTCCAAACTTACTAGTTGATTCATAAGGACTATGAACATTTTCCAAGTGGCACTGGAGCTGGAAGGGAGTGGAAAACTGGCGGTAACAGTGTTGGCAGATAGTATGACCATCCACTTCACCATTCTGCTGATCAAGTTCTACATGGTGTTTCATATGGTTCATGAATCTGCAGCACAGCGCAAAGGGAAGGTACAGAAAACATTTTAAACCAGTAGCCTTGGAGACATGTAACAGCAGAATCACAGCACAGTTATTACCTGCTCCTCCTCCCTCCACTTCCTCTGTTAACCCAGAAGAGGGTTCTTGAAATTAAGCCTTCTGTGGAAGGAGACACACTGGTCTCCTTTATCTTTTAATTGGTCTCCCAGTTATCTTTCATTTATTACCACAATATGCCCTTCTATAGTATCAGCTCTTGACTTAATGCTAATTCTTAGCCAAGACTGGATAAGGACAATTCTCCAAGAGAAAGACTTAAACATGTAAGAAAATTTGTCTTGTCTTGTACAAGGTAACATCCAAGGCTCTTTAACACCTACCGAATGTTGTTTTTTAGCCTTTTGGTACAATGTGGGCATCGGAAAGATGTAGCGACCTTAGGGAAGTTTGTGAGTTGGGCTACTTTGCCACCGTCCCGTCCGTAGTAGAAGTCATCTACGAGCATAATGAGCTTGGTCTGGACAGCATCACCCGCGCTCTCATTTGGCTCTGGTCCTTTGGTAGGTGGTGACAGAGCAGGAATTGGTGTTGAAGAGGGCGTGGAAGCAACGGGAACTGTTTTCTCAGGGGATGAGGGCTTTGCTGCGGATGGCGCATTGGGTTCTGAATCCAGAGACTTCCCTTTCTTGTGGAATTCAACCATTTCTGGGCAGCAGTACTTTAAAGAAAGAAGACATCTGATCATTCTGGTTATCCAGGGAACAGGGTGTGCTAACTCCCCAACTTCACTAGCGGTCATTGGTAAGCTAGGTTCTAGGTGGTCTCATCCAGCTCTTTCACCCTCAAGATTTCTATAGCATTTCCCAGTGTCACTCTTTTTCTCGTGTACTAGAGGCCCGGTGCATGGATTTGTGCACCGGTGGGGTACCTTGGTGTGGCCTGTGGGGGGGTCGGGCCAAAACCGACAGTCCAACAGCGCCTGCAGCTCCTGCCTGCTGCTCCCGCTCATCTCAGCCCTGCTGCGCCTGCCAGGGGCTCGCACTGTCAGTTCCACGGTGGCGCTTGCCAGCCATGAACCCTGCCTCTGGCACCCGTCAGTCAGCTGAGCGGTGCCCCCCCTGTGGGAGCACACTGACTACCAGGAGGCAGCTCCTGTGTTGAGTGTCCGCCCCTGATGGTCAGTGCATGTCACAGTGACCAGTCAACCGGTTGTCCGGTCGCTTAGACTTTTACATAGACAGATATGTATTTACAGCCACATGCCGCCCCAAACACCTTATCTTGTACTTCTTCTTGCTTTCGTTTCTTTAAGCACTCACTAACATAACTTGGTCCTAAGCTCTCTGACAGGAAGATGTTCCGACCTTTCCATCAGGACTAATACAAAAACCCCGGAAAGGTTAGAAATGGGAACTGATTTAACATCTCCTGTTTCATCAATGACACATAAGCAGAAAATGAACCGAAGCCAAGTTGGTTTGAGGTCTGGTTATCTAACAAGCCTGACCTGTGCAATTTCAAAATCTAACACAACTAAGGAATTAAGGCTGCATATGTTCGGATCTATTTGAGGGACAATAAATGTATCCTATGACATCCCATAGCATATAACTCTTCTAAAACAGTCCAAAAGACAAAGCAGCACTTTAAAAAGCTTCCAAGTCATTTTAAAATCCCTGCTTCCCAAGCTCCCATTGCAACAGGAGGCGTACAGTGATGATATCACTTACACACATGTGACCTCTCAAAGCTTCAGTTACACGGAATTGAGCATTACACCGTGGACACATTTTGCGGCCACCATCTTGGAGATCAAACGCAGGGATGGAAGAGGTCACTGGAAGAAGAGAGAAGCATTGAAAAGCTTAATAAGATGATACTGAATATTACTGGCCTTTTGGGAAAAGGTTACATCCCCTGAGATGCATAGTAAGGTTGGTAGGCAAGCATGAGAGATCACCATGAGGGTCATTTCTTGTACCATTCTTCTAACTCTAGGTCACGGGTTAGCAAATTATGCCTGGGCTCATAGATCAAATCCAGCCAGCTTTAAGTTTCTATTTGGTCCATGAGCTAAGGATGATTTTTTTTTTTCTTGATTATGGTAAAAGACACATAACATACAATTTATTTCTTAAGCAATTGTAAGTGTACAGTTGTGTTAAGTACATTCCCAGTGTTGTGCAAGCAATCTCCAGAAGTCTTTTCATCTTGCAAAAATAAATCTGTATACCCACCAACTCCCCATTTCCCACTCTGTCTAGTCCTTGGCAACCACCATGAATCTGACTATTCTAAGTAAGCCATATAAGTGGAATCATACAGTACTTGTTCTTTTGTGATTGGCTCATTTAACATCATGTCCTCAAGGTTCATGAATGTTGTAGCATTTGTCAGAACTTCTTCCTTTTTAAGGCTGACCAATATACCATTTTACATATGTACCATATTTTGTTTGTTTATTCATAGGTTGAAAGACATCTGAGTTGCTCCCACCTCTTGACTATTATGAATAATCTATCTATATAAAAGGTTAATGACTGACCATCTGTCTGTCCTACTGGTACACCTGATGTGCACTGGCGCATGTGCGATACATATAAACCTCTTGCTAGTGCCAATCACAAGCACATTTCAATGTCATTGTTGATCGCGAACTTGGTTGTTTTTATTGACTTTCAACATAAACCACATCATGATTTATTCATCAACCGTCACACTGACTGGCTGGTGCATACGACACACACTGGTAATTTAACGGGATCAGGCCGAAACTGGCTCTCTGACATCCCCAGAGGGGCCAAGATTGCAAGAGGGTGCAGGCCAGGCCGAGGGACCCCACTGGTGCATAATCGGGTCTGGGGAGGGACATAGGATGTTGGCCAGCCAAGAGAGACCGCAGAGGACTCCAGGGTGTGTCCAGCCCATCTCACTCAGTCCAGATCGGCCGGACCCCAGCAGCAAGCTAACCTAACTTTCGGAGTGTATGCACCCTGGTGGTAAGTGCACATCACAACAAGTGGTTGAGCAGCCTTAGCATATTATTAGCATATTATGCTTTGATTGGTTGAACAGGCAACTAGACTACTGGACAGTTAGCATATTAGGCTTTTATTATATACTAGTGGCCCAGTGCACGAATTCGTGCACACTGAAAGAAAACTAATTAGAATAAATATTTTACTATCACTATTCACCCTTTCTCTGTAATAGAAGTGTCAACCAAATTCAAGATCGACAATGACAGATGGAAACATATGCATGCGATTGGTGTGGTGTCAATCAGAGCTTTATATGTATTGTGCATGAACAAGTCAACTTAGCCTTTTATAGATATAAACTTACTTAATTAGACCTGCTTTCTGATTTAGCTAAACTTTTTCCAGCTTAGTGAAGCACCCCAACTTCTCTTTCAGGTAATTGTCAGCAACACAGCAGTAAATATCAACATGAAGCAGATTATAGGTCATGCAGGGAGAACAAAGGGTAAAATATTTAGCTACAGCGTTTTGACTATATTCTGTGCAGTGAGAAACCTGAAGTTATTTTCAAGGCCAACCATTTCTTACTCCTTTTCAATCGGGTTAGGTTTCTAAGCTTTCTAAATCTCCGTTTTCTGGCTAATGAAAAGAAAATAGGATTCCACTGAGTCTCCTATCTACCTACTCCAGTACTTCTGTGAGAATCAAATGAGATGAGGCACGGGAAAATGCTTCACAGATATTTGGTTAAAGTGTGAAACGTTTCCACCTTGGTGTTCCTGGATTGACGAAACTGCAAGGAGGCTAGTCGCTAGGGAGAGAAGCCTGGCATTGCTAAGTGTTGGTCATTACCCAGTGCCCACAGCCATTGTTTCAGGCTGAGCTGGGCTGTGGGCCACATTTTGCACCACGGCAGTGTTGGCTGCAACTTGGTGGGCTGTCGCTCTGGGGTGGTGGTGGGGACTGTGTCCCACATGGGGGTAGCCGAGTGCTGCTTTGTCGGTGCCAAGTCCGCACTGCTGTTTCTGTGTAAATAGTCAGTGCATATCATGGCAGCTGGTTGGACGCGCAGAGGGACACTTAGCACACACCATATATATATATATATATATATATATATATATTTTTTTTTTTTTTTTTTTTTTTTTTAAACTAGAGGCTTACTTTGTGCACCAGTGGGGTCCCTTGGCCTGGCCTGCGGGATTGGGCCCAAACTGGCTCTTGGACATCCTCTGAGGGGTCCTGGATTGCAAGAGGGTGCAGGCTAGGCCAAGGGACCCCACCGGTGCTCGACTGGGGCCGGGAGGGACATGGGAGGTTGGCTCCAGGGCATGTCTGCCTCTTCTTGGTCAGTCCTGATTGGCTGAACTCCAGCAGCAAGCTAACCTACCAGTCAGAGTGTCATAGCAACTGGTAGACTGTCTGCCCCAAGGGGTGGCCAGTACAAGTCATAGCAAGCAGTTTAGTGGCCCTAGCATATCATTAGCATATTACACTTTGATTGGTAGAATGGACGGCCAGACACTTAGCATATTAGGCTTTTATTATATAGAATAGATCCTATTTTGACATGTAATTTTTTGCAGTAATATTGTTACTGCATGAATCTTTCTTCTAATTAATTTCCTTTCAATATGCACAGATCTGCCCTGGGCCACTAGTGCTGCTATAAAGATGTAGAAATGTCAGTTTGGATCCATGCTTTCAATTCGTTAGATATATTTCCTCATAAGGTAATGTTTTAGTTTTTTACTGATTTTAGAGGGAAAGAGGCAGGGAGAGAGAGAAACATTGGTTTATTATTCTACTTACTTATGCATTCATTGGTTGATTCTTGTATGTGCCTTGGCCAGGGATGGAACCTGAAATCTTGGCATATCAGGATGACGCTCTAACCAAATTAGCTACCTAGCCAGGGCTCATATGGTAATTTTATGTTTCTTTCTTTTTTGCAAATATCAATATCAATAGTAAGAATCATGCTATTTTACATTCCCACCAGCACTGCACAATGGTTCTATTTTTCCACATCTTCACAAGTACTTATTTTGATTTTTGGATAACAGCCATCCTAATGGCTGTGTAGTATTTTACTGTGGTTTTGATTTATATTTCCCTAATTATTAATGATGTTTAGTATTGCTTCATGGGCTTCGTGGCCATTTGTATAGTATATCTTCTTTGGAGAAAGGTCTATCCAACACCTTTGCCCATTTTTTAATTAGGCTGTTTCTTTGTTGGGGTGTTGTTAAAGTTCTTTATATATTACGAATATTAATCCCTTATTGGATATTTGATTGTAAATATTTTCTCCTACTCAGTGGCTTGTAAGAGTCCTTTGTTGCCCTGAATATTTTAATTTTGATGTCGTTTTACTTATTTTTTCTTTTGTTGCCTATATTTTTGGTATCATATACACGAAATCAATGCTAAATTAAATGTCATGAAGCTTTCCTCTATGTTTTCTTCTTAGAGTTTTAGTCTTTTAGCTCTATGTTTAGGTCTTTGAATCACTGAGTTAATTTTTATATATAAGGGTCCAACTTCATTTTTTTGCTTGTGGATATTTGTTTTTTCCCAATACTATTTGTTACAGGTTTTTACATTTTTAAATGGTTGAAATAAAGGCAAAAAGAAAGAATAAGATCTTTGGACACATTAAATTTAAAAATTCAGTGTCCATGGATAATTCTGATGGAGCAGAGTCATGCTCCCTCATTTACATTCTGTCTGTGGCTGCTTTTGCACCACAATGGTAGAGTTGAGTAGTTGTGACGTAGGTTTAATGCTCAATGTCATTTACAGAAAAAGTTAATTTAGACTATTAAAAACTCTCATATTCATACCCTTCTACACTTGCAAATCTCTCTACCAAATCCTGACTTTAAAACCTTGTTCACAAATCCATCTCATCTATGAAGCCATCTTTTGATTGTCCCACCCAGATCTGATCAATCAATCCATTTCACTAACCCACAAAGCACAATTATAGAATTGCTTGAAGCTGATTCAGTTCCACTTCTCACAAGTGGTTATCCCAGTTACCACGCTAAAGCTTCTGTGAGAAGGGATTGTAGTAACTATATCCTATTTTACTTCTCTATTTCATAGTATAGAGTTCTGATACAACATCAATGTTTTGAATAATTGGCCACTCAGAGTCTTTCAGGTTATTGTACCTTTCATTGAAGACTCAGGTCCGCTGGTTCTCTGAGAGCCCTGGGAAGAGTTGTTGTTGGATACCACCACTGGCCCGGGACTCTGGCCCAGGGAAGGGATGGTGTTAAGGGTATTCACCAGTTTGGCCACTTCATTGCTATTTTCACCTGTAACCCCAGGTCGCTTCACAGTGACAAAGCTGGTAATGCTCACTGCAGGTGGAGAGGGGAAGGAGGGAGCTATGTTGGCCATGTGATAATCATCTGTTCTCCACCCACCTCCCCGTCCCAGCTCTGCCATTTTCTCTTCCCAAACCTCACCTAGCTTGGGATTCGAGGTCTGGTTGGCTTGGCCTGGCGGCTGAACAGCGAGTTGCCCCAGTGAGGTTGGCTGTGTGGTTGTGGGAGTGGTGGAAGTGCTGGGAGTGGACTTGGTCTGCTGGGCCTGGGACTGGGGGACAGTGCTGCGAATGGTGAGTGTGGCCGGGATGACGGTGGTGAAGGTGTTGGTGGTGGGCCGCACAGGCATGGTGGAGCCGGGCCTCACTGGGGTCATCTGGGAGAACACTTGTGGGACTCCAACTGTCGGCTTAACAAACTGGGTACCTGGGGCTTCAAAAGAGAGATAAAGAAAAGTACCGAATCTTGGTCAATCAGCTCACTTATAATACACTGCCCCTATCTTTACTGGAAATACTGGAATAGAAAATGACCATTTCTCCAAACTGGTGACCATCAACGGTTACCAAGAACAGTATAGATTCTAATATCTAAGAAGGCAATATGCATGCAAACTGATAAACAGAAATTGGTCTAGGTAATCAGCCTTAAAAAGATTAAACTGAAGAAAAAGGATTCCTATCAACTCCTCCCCACTTTACCACTTGCCTTGGTATTGGAAGAGAAAGAATGGGAATAGAGTGAGAGGCAGAATGGGTATTATAGGCCCCCGGGGCAGACTTGGACCTGAAAATAAAAACTTTTCATTCTCAGAATACTAAAGGAGCCTTCCTTTCTCTTATATAAAACTCAAATAGAGGACCAACTATGCCACTCTACCAGGATGTCCCAAAGACGACAGTCTCCTGGCTCCGCCATAGACAATTCTGCTGACGTATGTTTAAGAAATATCAGAGAGTTGATAAACTCAACAGACTGAAGGCCAAAAACACTCTGTGGGCTCCGAGAACAACAACAAAAAGTTATGCTACAGAGATACCCTTAAAAAAACTCAATTAAGATATTCTTTTTTGGCCTTTATTACAGCAAAGTGAGATACTGAGTAAAGAACTAATCATTGGCAATATTCATCCTCAAAGGATATGTAATTTGTTTAATTTATATCTAAAAAAAAAATCTATACTATAAAATTAAAGCAAAATAGTTTATAATCTCACCATGTGTGTGAACAGAATTATAAAAAATATGGAATTGGGAGTTTGCGTTAGTAATTTTCCAAAACAAATTTCATAGCTGACTAAAACATAAGAAACATAAAAATGACTATATAAACCCTCTTTCACTACTTCATAATGGGTGGTAAAAAGTTAATAAAAATAAATAAAACCACCACCCTGGCCAAAGGTTAGAAATAGTTTTTAAAAAATGGTCTTAAATCAAAATGGTTTAATTTTTACATTTTCCTTAAATACACTTTTAAATGACTTACAGTGTTTTGAGACAATAAAAACAAATCTTGAGGATGCAAGCTTATTCCACATGGACAAACATGTTTCCTTACCTGGGACTAGTGTAATTGGTCTAACCGTTTGGCCTTGCTGTACGTTCAGCACAATCCCAACCTGATTCATTGCATTTTGTACAGGCCGAACATTTCTTACAGGAAATCCCTGTATTAAAAAGCAAAATGATCTTTAACATGGAGATCAGCTAACACTGGCAGAGACTGCAGTAAGGCCTACATCCAAAAAAATTCCCACACTCCTACCTAACAGTTCTCTCTCTCTAGAGTTCGAGTTTTTAAATGACTAAGATGGAGAAATGTAGGAATATTGGCAAACTTTTGAGTGACAAAATATCAAAACTGAAGAATAAGCTTTGGTACACATGAGCAAAATGAAAACCTACTTCCTGTCTTAAGAAAATCTCAGCCTAAAAAAATTCAACCAAAGATTGGCTTCTAAACTGCTAAAGGCACAGAAGGGGGGGTGGGGAGGGGAAGATACTAAGAGTATTCACTAGAGTGATTCAACAAACAATTGTACGAAATTGTTCCCAAAGTCCATTTCAAAGGCCATTAATCCCTAGCAAATTTCTAAGAAAAGAGTTTGTAACTCAGGAAGTCAAAGTCAAAGAAGAGAATTTGTCTTTACATCCCATATTCAGCATTCGGCTTTCAACTTTGATCACATTACATAACAAATAAGTCATCTTCTTCTCTTCCAAAGATCTGCCTGCACTTCACCAATTGCACATATAAGACTTCCAAAAATCAACTTACCCCATTTTAAGAGCAGCCCAAAAGCAAAAAAGGCCAAGAAGCCTTGAGGGCCAGGTGTTAAGGTTTCTGAATCCAATATTTCCCACTAATTTCTGCCCAGATCTCAAATCATTTAATAGCCCTCTAAGGGGTATGAAGTGAAATTAACCAGCTGTAAGCTTGTTAGGCTTTTCACAAAGTCAGCATTATATTACAGAACAGCAAATGAGAAAACCCGGTTAAAAAATAGGACTTCGGGCCATTTCTAATGATGCTAAAGGCCTAAGGTGGAGCCTCCAAAAGTTCACATGATCTTTCCCTCCTCTCTACCAGTCCCAGAATTCAGAGTCCCTACTCACCTGAGTAGTGATGAAAATGGGTTGTGAGGCCACAGGAGAACTAGTCACATGATTGGCATTCTGCATGACCTGGACAGGCCTCAGTACTGGTTGACTGACCATTGTGCCCAGACCTGGGGCTGGATTCTGGGTTAGGATGAGCGGCTGTCCGCCTTGTTGGACCAAAGAATTGCCAGCTAAAGTGTAAAAGGGAGGGAGAAATATGAATGTGATAGAAAACAAACCCACATCTTATAAGATTGTGATTTAAATCAGAAATGGTATCCTAGGTATCAAAATATTCAAGACTGTCACACGGTTCAGGTTTAATGTCACCAAACTCACCAAAAATTAAGGTTCACCCAAATCTACAACTAACAGAAAAAACAAGGAGACAGGGAAGTTCACTAACATCTACCTTAGACATCTTAACTAGGGATGTCTCAACACATTATGACTTCTATATGTCTATATTTCGACTCATTAAGTGACAACACAATCTCCCCCTACCAAATCAGCAAAACAAAGTAACATCTTTTTCTTACAAATAAAATAACATGTTTTCCTTAAAACAAAAATCAAGAACACCATATTTTAACTAGGCAACACCTATTTTGTCAGAATGTAATTTGCTGCTAACCCACCTTACTTAAAAAAAAAAAAAAATCTTTATTGTTGAAAGTATTACATATATTCCTCCTTTCCCCCATTGATCCCTTGTAGCCCGAGCCTACTACCTAATTTTTTTTTTTTAAATAAGATGAATATTCATCAATAAGCATTAACTCGGCAAGTACAGAGACTTTCAAGGATGGCATCTCACCCAGCTGGAGTGGCACAGGGATTAAGCATCGACTTATGAACCAAGAGTCATGCATGGTTCAACTCCCTGGTAAGGACACATGCCTGGGTTGCGGACTTAATCCTTATGTGGGGCACGCAGGAGGCAGCCAAACAATGATTCTTTCTCATCATTGATTGTGCATGCGCGCGCGCGCTCGCTCGCTCTCTCTCTCTCTCTCTCTCTCTCTCTCTCTCTTCCTCCCTCCCTTCTTCTCTGAAATCAATAAAAAAGTACTTTTTAAAAAATGGCATCTCTTCCTAGGGAGTCAAATATCAGAAATGCAAAAGGATGCCGAGACCGGTTTGGCTCAATGGATAGAGCGTCAGCCTGCGGAATGAAGGGTCCCGGGTTCAATTCCAGTCAAGGGCATGTACCTTGGTTGCGGGCACATCTCCAGTGGGGTTGTGCAAGAGGCAGCTGGTCGATGTTTCTCTCTCATCGACATTTTTATTTGCATTTTTAAAAAAAATATATTTTATTGATTTTTCACAGAGAGGAGAGAGGGATAGAGAGCTAGAAACATCAATGAGAGAGAAACATCGACCAGCTGCCTCCTGCACACCCCCTACCGGGGATGTGCCGGCAACCAATGTACATGCCCTTGACCAGAATCGAACCTGGGACCCTTCAGTCCGCAGACCGATGCTCCACCACTGAGCCAAACCGGCCTCGGCTCTCATCGACATTTTTAACTCTCTATCCCTCTCAGTTCCTCTCTGTGTAAGATCAATAATATATATATATATATATATATAATTTTTTTTTTTTAAAGAAAAAAAAAATGCAAAAGGCTTTCTGAACAACCATGGTATTCAGTATGGAAACATAGAGACTGACAGGCTGCCTTCTTTCACTTTATGTCATCAAGGCGGATACACAAAAGACCTGGTCAAAAACTAAACAATATTAAGTAAAAATGTTAGCTTAATAAGGCAATGATTCATTCATGAATCAATATTAATAAACTGGGCTAATTGTTATTGAATTATTTTATATTCCTTTTTATTTGTGAGAAAAGCAATTTTTTAAAAATATATTTTATTGATTTTTTACAGAGAGGAAGGGAGAGAGATACAGAGTTAGAAACATCGATGAGAGAGAGTCATCGATCAGCTGCCTCTTGCACATCCCCTACTGGGGATATGCCCGCAACCAAGGTACATGCCCTTGACCGGAATCGAACCCGGGACCCTTCAGTCCCCAAGCCGACGCTCTATCCATTGAGCCAAACCGATCTCGGCGAGAAAAGCAATTTTTAAATGTTTTTAAGTCCTCTAGATACTACACTTGGCCAAAATAATTCTCATTACTATATTTTCTAATTTATAAATATTCTAATACCATACAGAAAATTTGGGAAAGCCAATATACCTAAGTCAAAGATAAAATCAAAATATTGCCTCAACCTTTTTACCTCAAATCACCAGAATAAGATGGACTCCTCTGAACTGAATATTCACTGCAGTTAGCTACAAAGCAAAACCAGCAGAGTGGGGAGATAGGGGGCTATTCACGGGCCAGCAGTGGTTTGTGCCAGTCTCAGAGAAACTGAGAGCCCAGCGGTGGACTAGACCCTGATAGCTACCAGGCCAACAGAGTAGTGATTATAGAGGTTGACAGGTAAAAAATTCCAACAAGTTATATCTAGGATAACTATACTGGCAACTTACTGACTGTACATATTTTAAATTTAAATGTTTGATTATGGGAAAGTTAAAATATATGTAAAAATGGAACACTATAATGAATACCATGTACCACACTGAGTTTCAATGATTAGCCAATCATGTTTCATCTATACCTTTCACCCACTTACCGGCGCCCATATTATTCTGAAACATGTTCTAGATCATATCTTTTCACCTATAAATATTCAATACTAGTGGCCGGGTGCACGTATCCGTGCACAAAGGAAGGAAATTATTAGAATAAATATTTTAATATTGCTATTCACCCTTTCTCTATAATAGAAGTGTCAGAATCGAAAGAAAATTAGTGCTTTTCCGTCGGCAACAGACGGAGGAGTCTGCGCGAGCTACCATGAGCCACGCGGTTACTATTGGTGGCCAGGGTGCAGCGCCCACGGGCGTGTCCCAGGCTTTCCCAGACACGACAGAGCCTATGAGCCGAAGATGAATAAAGGTGATGATGAATGTTTTCCAAAAACTTATAACAGGATGACCAAACCCCCAGGAGCCCTACTGCATGTAATAAGCATATAGGTTAACTGCAAGTGAATGAACATTCAAGTTCTTAGCTGTGTTGTTTAAAAATTCTTCACTGCCTCCGGTGTGGCATATGACATCTTTGGAAGGGAAAACAAAGAACTGATCAAGAAGACATGAATTGGCCGGGACCGGTTTGGCTCGGTGGATAGAGCGTCGGCCTGCGGACTGAAAGGTCCCGGGTTCGATTCCGGTCAAGGGCATGTACCTTGGTTGCGGGCACATCCCCAGTGGGGGGTGTGCAGGAAGGCAGCTGGTCGATGATTCTCTCGCATCGATGTTTCTAGCTCTCTGTCCCTCTCCCTTCCTCTCTGTGAAAAATCAATAAAAATATTTAAAAAAAAAAAAAAAAAAAAAAAAAAAAAAAAAAAAAGAAGACATGAATTGAAGCAAATGAAAAGTAATATTTTATTTAACAGTGATCAATGAAATTATATAGAAAAAAGAAAATTAGTAAAATGTATATGAAAATTATAAATTGAATAAATAAACAATAACAACAAAGACATATGAAAAACAACCAAAAGATGATCTAAAACCCAACAAAAACATGATATAAAAAAAACAACACGGATAAAGACAAAGACTGATAAGTTGATTGAACTTATTCTAGTATCTCCCCGTAGACCACAGGAAGAGTAAAAAGGCTTTCAGAGTCCTTGTGAGGAAGTGTTTAGAACTTGAACATCGCACGCTCTTTGAGGTGGAGAGAGCGGGCAACCTGGACCTCCATTCCATCGGACACATGTGGGGCCCGGTGGAACTGACATGTGACGCCACGCGTGTCACATTCCACCCACCACCACTGGGCTGGGTAAGCGCGTCCTCATTCACTTGGTTTCGCTAGGGAGGCGGTTCCTACCAGGCCTGGACGCCTGAGCCTGTTCGTACATTCTCTGCCGCCAGCGCCGGCGCCGCTTCCTCTCGGCCTCGTAGGTGCGCTGGGCCAGCAGCTGCGCCTCCGACATGCTCTGCCGCCGCCGCCGGCTCCGCTCGGCCTCGCAGATCCGCTGTGCCAGCCGCTCCTCTTCGGACATGTTCTGCCGGCGGAGGCGCTTCCTTTCGTTCGCGGTGGCCCGGTATGCCACTCGCTCCTCCTCGGACATGTTCTGCCGGCGCCGCCGCATCCTCTCGGCATCGAGGATGCGCTGCGCCAGCCGCTGCTCCTCGGACATGTTCTGGCGGCGGCGCCGGCTCCTCTCGGCTTCGGAGACGCGCGGCGGCGGCGGCGGCCGGGCTTCAGACTTGTTCTGTCGAGGGGGACGCGGCTTTCTTCCAGCTTCGGAATGTCAACAGAAACAACCACATTTACGATCGGCAGTGACAGATGGAAACGCACGCGTGCGGTGGGCGCCGGCGAGGATTGTGAGAGAGACAGGTTTAACACATTTTGGAAATTAAGGGGACCATGGAGGAAGCACGGGGCTGCAGGGCAGCAGGACAGGGAGCTGAAAAGCTGTGACAGGCACATTTCCGTAGCATGAGGGAGCTGGGGACAGCAGAAGGTCTGTATTTACTAAACAAAGGGAAGGGGCCTCTCATTCAGAGGATGGAGGAGGAGGCCTTAAAGGGGGGAGGAAAACACTAAGGGAGAAGGGGAGGGAAACCTCACAGGTCCCAGCTGAGGTTTGACATTGAAACTCAGAAGTTTCTGTAGTAAGCGGTCTAAGGAAATAGTGACAATCAGAAGGGATATCAAGGCAGAGAAACAGGGAACCTCAGTGGGACCTTTTCCCTCTCCCCACGTGGGAATCTGTACTTGTTCTTCAATCAATTTCCAGCTTTGCTATACATCTTCCGTCCGTGGATTCATTCTTCCACTCCGACGGACAAAGAACCCGGGAACCATGTGTTTCAGTCCAAAAATCCTGCTTCCGCTTTATATGTATCACACATGTGCGAGTCAACTTAGCCGTTTACATCTATACTAGAGGCCCTGCGCACAGATTGGTGCACTGGTGGGGTCCGTTGGCCGGGCCTGCAGGGATCGCCTGTAGGGATCAGGCTGAAACCAGCTCATTGACATCCCCTGAGAAGTCCCGGAATGTGAGAGGGTGATACTTGGGTGAGGCACCGCAGACCTGGGCTCCCTCATCTCTGGTTCCAGGTGTGTCACCGGAGAACCACA